CCCTATTCCCCTTGTGGAACTAGAATTCCCATAGTTCCGTGGGAAGAGGGATTGTTTGATTAACCACTCTGTGAGGGGAATAGGGGGTCTCCCAACAACTCACAGGACCCTTAACAAGTTCCCAGGACACTTGGAGGGAAGCAACAATTTTTGGTGGCATAGTAGAGTTTTAAATGCATGGCACAGAGAAAGCCCCGGTCATTCCTAACTTGTCCCATCCATTTCAGATAATGTAATCTGGATACAACCTACTGTGTCTTTCAGAAAAATTGCAATCCTGAAACCTTCCTGCACAGGATAAAATATTGCATATTTAACTGAAAAATAAAAATGAATGTTTCCACTTGGTCGTAAAACTGGGAGTGGGCAATAACTGCTATCCACTTCTCCAATTACATGAATGGTGCTCTGGTTTTCAGCCAAGCAGTCCTCCCACCTTTACAGGGCCGACTCAAGATGCTTTGCTACCTAAGGGAGAGCAGCAAAAGGTGCATAGTACCCCCTGAACATGCACAGAATTGGCTTTAAAAGGGGTGGAGTGGGGAACTTGAGACCCACCAGAGGCTGTTGGACTCCCAACTTCCATCAGCCCCAGCCAGCATGGTCAGTAGTGAGGAAAGATGAAAACTAATCCAACAGGAAGACTGCAGGCTCCCTATCCCTGCTTTTATTTTCATATCAGTAGATGGAGCAAACAGAATCCTCATTACCTTGCAGTCTGCCTTCTCTTCCCAAAGGATCTTAGATACAAACTGGGACATGGGTGGCGCTAATTAAAGTAAATTTCCTAGGGAGGATGAGAGACTATGTTACCTTTGCAAGATGGGTGAGGAACTTTTTTCTTCTTGTTGTCAGATGCAGTTCCCAGTGCTTGCATTACACCACTGGTTTTTGGCAGTGCAAAATCCATGCTGCCTTGTCCAAGGAGCAGACTCGTGACGTGGGTGGTGCTGTGGTCTAAACCACTGAGCCTCTTGGGCTTGCCGATCAGAAGCGGTTCAGCAGTTTGATCTGCGTGACAGTGTGAGCTCCTGTTGATCTGTCCCAGCTCCTGCCAACCTAGCAGTTCGAAAGCACGCCAGTGCAAGTAGATACCGTATTTTTCGCCCTATAGGATGCACTTTTTCCCCTCCAAAAATGAAGGGGAAATGTGTGTGCGTCCTATGGGGCGAATGCAGGCTTTCGCTGAAAAGGAGAGCCCCGCCGCCAGCTCCCGACATCCTTTGGAGGCTGGCGGCGGGGAGAAGCCTGCTTCTCCCCGCCGCCAGCCCCGCAAGCTCGGGGCAGAGATAACTATTTCCTGTAAGGTATAGTGCATCCTCTGGGTTTACCCACTCTTCCCCGCTTTTTTGGCTGCATCTACCTGTGAGTAAGTACTTGTGGTGCCTGATCTGTCTGTGTTGGGGAGACTTAAAAAGAATGACCTTGGGGAGGAGGGAGAGAGCTGTTGGTACAGCCACCACCACCACCCAACACACACGTCTGTTGAATGTGGTGGCTGTTCCAATTTGCCCAATGATAGGGCCAGTCCTCCATCTTGGTAGGAGCTTCTGTGGTTCTGATAGGCCTGGCCATCAGCTCCAAGCAAGGACTAATGACCATTTGGGGAAGAAAGACCAGAAGGTGGTGTTGCTAGTTATGGTCATGGGTGTTCCTAAGACTGGTCTATGGGTGCCTTTGCATGGCTGTGGCTAGACTGGGAGATGATACACAGGAAGTAAATCCATGAGCTACATGCTCCTCATGGCACATTACGAAAACTATTTCTGTCATCAGGCTGCTGCCGTTCCTGGCACACTGAATTATGTTGATAGCTAAGAACAGTTCCCTAACTACAAGCCAAAGCTGTATCTGTTTGTGCATAATATATTTAGAAGACCTTGATGGTTGGTTCTGATTAACTGCTAATATTGAGCAGCATGATACATATTTCCATTATGCTTGAGGCTTATGTGTATATATTTATACAAGGCAAAATCACTGTGGATGGGCTTTGAGATTTTGGTGGTAGACTACACAAACACAAACACACACACACACACACACAGAGAGAGAGAGAGAGAGAGAGAGAGAGAGAGAGACTTCTGAAAACTCTTTAAAGGAGATTATAGGGACTTTTTATTATGCTTTGTGCCTTTATTTAAAGGAGTGGCTTGTGGCTTTCTGAACTTTTTAGATCTGCTCCATCAATAACGGTGAGAAGCTGACTGCTCTTCCAGTGGGCATTAGAATGAACTCCAAAAGCAAATACCCAAAGCATCCTTCTTTGCTTTAGTAGTTGAGTGAAACTTGGAGCTCAAAGAGCTGAAATATATGGATTCTGTGCTCCTTGGAGGATTGCTGCCCATATCGACTGCTCTTATGCTATCCTCTTCCTTGGTTTCTGAATTCAAAAAATTGTGTTTCTGTATGCCTTCAAGAGAAATGACCCTGCTACCTGACTCTAGATGTCTTACGGGTTCAGCTGCATATTGAATTGCCACACGACCTCTCCCAGGCTCTCTTCCTATTAAAAGACCTCCTTTTATTCACCAAATGCCTTAGGAGCAGTGTTGTGCCTGCTTATAAGTCTCACCCTCCAATCCCCTAATGCAGAGATGGGGAACCCATGGTGCTCCAGATGCTGTTGGGCCAGAGCTCCCATCATCCATGGACCACCGGGTGGTCATGCAGGCTAGGACTGATGGAGTCCAAGAACATCTGGAGGTCACCATGTTGGAGAAGACTGCCCTTGTCGATACCTCTCTTGCTTCATTTCTCGTTCCGTAGGGAAACTGCATAATGGGAGCTCATATGGTACATTCAGCAAGCGTTCAATCTGTGTATGTGGATAGTTGAACTGCATGCTCATTTGGCTGTATACAGGCAACATTCAGCATTTGTACAAATCAACCAGTGCACACAACCTTTCACGTGTGTACATGTGTGGAGAGAGCTTGCCCCTGTGTTCCGTGTTAATGTGTGAACAAGCCCATAATAAGCTAGTAGAATAGCATGGCAGTTCTGGGAGGAGAGGAGCCAAATAGCAACAGATCCCAGCTGAAAAGATAGCTTTGCTTCTTCCCACCTGAAGCAGCTAGTTGGAATTCCTGTCTTTCAAATAAATGCTATCTTTTCTCTGTCTGTCTCTTGTCTCTGTGTGTGTGTGTGCGCGCACACACACCTGCCTTTTGGTACTTACGCATTGAACACAGGCCATTTCATTTGTTAACAGGAATAATCATTCATTGTGTAGGACCAGAGGATAATAAAGGTACTCCTAAAGAATAATTTATAGTATATTGCTCTTCCTGTAGAATTCAAAAGTGGTAAAATCTGATGAGTGCTCACTGGAAGGACAGATCCTGAAGCTAAGGCTCCAATACTTTGGCCGCCTCATGAGAAGAGAAGACTCCCTGGAAAAGACCCTGATGTTGGGAAAGATGGAGGGCACAAGGAGAAGGGGACGACAGAGGACGAGATGGTTGGACAGTGTTCTCGAAGCTACCAGCATGAGTTTGACCAAACTGTGGGAGGCAGTGGAAGACAGGAGTGCCTGGCGTGCTCTGGTCCAGGGGGTCACAAAGAGTCAGAAACGACTAAACAACAACAAAATCTGATAATCAAACCAGTAAAGTGCAAAGCAAAATTGGCTCCGTCCCCCTGCACCCACCCACTTGTATTTTGCCTGGAAACTTGACACACAAGCCAAGGGGCAACTTCTCCCCACCCACCACGCCGTCTTCCTCAAGTGTTGCCTCTGTTTCCATCATCAAAATATCTGTGGTCCATGATTGATGACTCTTAGGATTTTGGATAATGTTGATTTGCAGCAGTAAGAGCTCTTTCATCTAGGCTGCATGGGTTCAAGTATAGCTTGGCTTTTGTTTGCAAAGACTACCTGCAATCCAGGTCATCCAGTTGTCAATGGAGCAAACTGTGTGAGCATACCTTAAGGAACCCAGCAGGAAGGACAGGACTAGTTCACATGTAGCACTAGGCCATAGTTGAGTGTATCGTGGATGAGCCTAACTGAGCCCAAGCTAAGCATCAGGTATGTGCTCTCCCTACCCCAGGAGGAGGAGAATTTCTACCAAGTTGCTTTGCCATTTCAAAGAAACTGGGCTTAACATTAGTGCAAACCAGGCATCCTGGCATACAACATGTTTGTTTGTTGATTGAGCAAGCCAGCTTCATAACCTACGGTTTGCTTTGCTGGGTCTCACTAAGGCTTGTCTGCATAGCACAAAGCCATGGTTAACATTGCATGTGAGGCAGTCCATGTTGTCCCGTCCTTCCTCCATAATAGACTGACTTTATGGGTCAGTAGTGTTTCCCTCTTATAAGAAGCTGTTGGACCATTGCCATGTGCAATGTCTTTAGATGGAAATGCAGTGGGGTTTTAATGTTGTTTATTTTGCATACATTGATACCTTGGTTCTCAAACTTAATCAGTTCCAGAAGTCTGTTCCAAAACCAAGACGTTCCAAAACCAAGGCATGTTTTCCCATAGAAGGTAATGCAAAATGGATTAATCTGTTCCAGACTTTTAAAAACAACCCCTAAAACAGCAGTTTAACATGAATTTTACTAACGAGACCATGGATCCATAAAACAAAAGCAATAATCAATGTACTGCAGTCCCACAATCAATCAATCAGTAGCTGAATTGGGTTCCACACAGTCACAAGAACAAAAAAGAGCCGCAAAAACAAAAATGCAAAATAAATAGCAAAAACAGACAGACCTCAGCATAACACTCAAAACGGAAGTGTGACACTCAAATCGGAAGCGTAACACTCAAAACGGACCATGTTCGGCTTCCGAAGAAAGTTCGCAAACTGGAACACTTGCTTCTGGGTTTGCAGTGTTTGGGGTCCAGGTTGTTTGAGTACCAAGGCGTTTGAGAAGCAAGGTACCACTGTATTTGAAGGATCCTCTAGGTGGGCCAACAATGCTCCTATGTCTAACATTATTCACATTATCCATGGCAACCATGCTTTCCTGTTCTTGTCCTCCAGGCTTATCTTAGCAGCTAACAGAGATGAATTTTATCACAGACCGTCAAAATCAGCTGACTTCTGGGACGGCAGCAATGAGATCCTCAGCGGTACGTAACACCCTCCTTGAGTAATTATTCACATGTTGCATTTATGTACATGGTCTCCCCTCTCCCCTTTCATTCTCACAGCAACCCTGTGAGATAGGATAAGCAAAGCTAAGAGATGGTGACTGTCCCAAGATCACTCAGTGAGTTTCAAGGCTGAGCTGGGGGATTTGAACCCAGGTCTCCCAGGTTCTAGTCCAAAACTTTAATCCCTAAACCATGCTGGTGCTAATTTTCTCTCTCTTTGCTTTTGACTGTAAATCTATGCGAAATGTGGTTTGGGATGGGCACCTATCATCTGTAAGTTGGGCTGTGATGTGATATTTCAGATGCCTCTCAAAGACCCCTGCATTCTTATTACAGGCGAGGTCTTCTGAAATGTTGCTTTTATTTCTGGTGGTTGTGGTGGTTTGTCTTTGTTTTTACAACTTTCACAACAGTGTTTTAATTTGACACCTGAAATCGAGTGATTTGAGCCATAGTTAAATCGTAACAGAAATGCATTTTGCTCTCCCATAAATGTGGTCCGATACCCCATTTTTCAAGCCTGCAGTTTTGGCCAGGAGACAAGCGTCTTCAAAAATAGTTTAATAGCTTGGGGTTAAAGAGAAAGTGTGTTGTTCTTTGCCTTTTGTCAGTTTGCAATTTACCGAAAGCGACTCTACCAACCTTCTACCTGGTGACTTTTTAAAAAGTTAAGCAACCTTTTTGTTCACTTAATGCTCTGCCTCTCTTTCAAAGAAAACCAAAAGCATCTTTTCTCTGCCTAGCCAGACTGAAGCATAAGCCTCGCTAGGCACATAAATAAAAATGAGACACAGGCAGGCAAAAGCATAGCTTTAAAATCTTTTGACGGTGCAAAGATTTTTCTCTTATGCTTGATGTTGTTGTCATTGGCAGGAAGAATTGTACGGATAAATCACTCTCTCTGCACTGCAGTTCCTTTTACTTTCGGAAAGTCTCTCACTCATTCCAAATTCTTGCAGGGTATGCTGCAAACTTCCCCACCCCCGTTTTTATACAAATGCAAAGGGTGTGTGTGTGGAGTGGTACACTTTGATGCTGAAATCTGAATTTTAACCAGGCACCAGGCTGTAGCAAAGTGCTGAACCCACTTTTTGATGTGTTGTTGTTGTCCCTGTTTAAGCTTTTCCCTGCCTATTTTTCTTTTTTCTTCATTTTTGAGGCAATAGTGCCTTGAAATATTCTCAAGGGTGTTAGTCGTCTAGGTTTCATTTCTTGTGTGAATAACACCCTTTGAATTAATAACACCTGCCTTTTTTGTCTCAAATAAAACCAGACATACTGGGCCGGTGGGGGGCCGGTGTGGAAAGTAAGTGCAGTAAAATGGTTTTGCATCATTTTTGCCTTTATGCAGCCTTGTATTTACTTGCCTGGTAGCCCATAGGCAACAGGGAACTCCATGCGGATGAATGAGCGGAGCTGGCAGAGGAAGGAAGGAAGAATGGATCATTCTATGGGGGAACACACTTTCCTCCGCAACCAGCATGGAAATGCAGCCGGTTGGCAGAGGGCAGAGGGGAAGATCATTCTGACCTTCCTCTACCACTGGGATGGGAAACCATTGGGTGTCCGGATGTTGCTGTTTCTGGGGGCAACAGTTTAAGATGGATATTGACTATCTGGAATGTGTGCAGTGGAGGGCAGCTAAGGTGATCAAGGGCCTGGAAATCAAACCTTATGAGGAATGGTTGAAGGAGCTGGGGTATGTTTAGCCTGGAAAAGAAGAGACTGAGAGGAGACAGGATTTGTTGTTGTTGTTTAGTCGTTTAGTCGTGGTGACTCTTTGTGACCCCATGGACCAGAGCACGCCAGGCACTCCTGTCCTCCACCGCCTCCCGCAGCTTGGTCAAACTCATGCTGGTAGCCTCGAGAACACTGTCCAACCATCTCGTCCTCTGTCGACCCCTTCTCCTTGTGCCCTCCATCTTTCCCAACATCAGGGTCTTTTCCAGGGAGTCTTCTCTTCTCATGAGGTGGCCAAAGTATTGGAGCCTCAGCTTCAGGATCTGTCCTTCCAGTGAGCACTCAGGGCTGATTTCCTTCAGAATAGATAGGTTTGATCTTTTTGCAGTCCATGGGACTCTCAAGAGTCTCCTCCAGCACCATAATTCAAAAGTATCAATTTTTCGGTGATCAGCCTTCGATAGCTATTCTCAAATATCTAGAGGGTAGGACCCAAACCAGTGGATTCAAATTACAAGAAAGGAGATTCCGACTAAACATCAGGAAGAAATTTCTGACAATAACAGCTGTTCAGCAGTGGAACCAACTCCTTCCAGAAGCGGTGGGCTCTCTTTTATTGGAGGTTTTTAATCAGAGGCTGGGTGGCCATCTGTCATTGACGCTTTAGTTGAGATTCCTGCATTGCAGGGGGTTGGACTAGAGAACTCTTGGTGTCCCCTGACCCCCAGTCAGCATAACCAATGGTCTAGGATAATGGGAGATGCTTGCGAAAAGGCAGAACTCAAGGAGTGCTGAAAGCAGGCGCAGTGAGGGGTATAGCTTGAGGGGGAGGTGTAGCCTAAGAAGGGTTCCAAAGGCCAGAGGCCTTGAAGGCTGCATTTGGCCCCCAGGCCTGGGGTTCCTCACCCTTGGATTAGAGCAGCCTTTCTCAACCCTGGGTCCCCAGATGTTGTTGGACTAAAACTCCCATCATCCGTAGCTAGCAGAACCAGTGGGCAGTGAAGCTAGGGAGTTGTAGTCCAACACTATATGGGAATCCAAGGTTGAGAAAGGCTGGCTTAGAGTATCAGACTAAGGCTGGCAAAAACTCAAATTTAGATCTCTGCTCATCCATTACTCTTCACTAGGTAACCTTGGGCCAGTCACTACCTTCCAGCCCTAACCTACCTCCCAGGACACTTTAAAACCCACTGAGAGCCAAATCAGGCAGTATTCTTCCAAGGAACACTCTCAACCCTGGAGCTGGGCATGTCCCTCATGTTTTCACATCTGAAATGTTGGAGGATATGAAAGTATGAAGCTCTTGAACAGAGACCAAAGACATCTTTTTGATATTTTAAAAATGCTGCTTACTTTATTACTTTTGTTACTGTGTATTTTTAAAATTTCATAAAATTTGCACACTGCTTGAATGGAAAACAAACAAGCAAACCTCAACATGATCTACAAAAAAGATGAAACAATAAAATGTTCAATAAAAGCAATGAAAAACAGTAAATTGAAGCGTTCAAAAAATTAAAACCAGTGGCAAACTGAAAACAGATTAAAACACACATTAACCATTCTAAGTATTTGGGTAGGTTTGTCTAAACAAAACAAATGTTTTTAGCAGGTTTGGATATGGAGGAAGGAAAAGAAGGCGGGACGTGGCTTGGAATCAGCAAGAAAGGTAAATTGGCAGCCCTGACGAACTACATGCAGCCAAAGATAGACAAGAATGCAAAAGGAAGAGGTATGTATATGGAAACGAGAGGGGACTGGGTTACATGAACATTCCTGGAAGTTCCCTTAATATGCAGATTCTTCAGCTATAAATCCTGCCCTTACTACAGTCATATCTTCTGTTGCAGTGTTCCCAAACCTAGAACAGCCATGACTTAGTGGTAGAACACCTGCTTTGCACACAGAAGGTCCTAAGTTCAATCCCCAGCATCTCCTGATTAGACTGGGAGAGAGCCCCCAATGAAATCCTGGAGAGATGCTGCCAGTCAGAGTCAACACTATTGAGCTGAATGGATTCTGTGTAAGGCAACTTCCTGTGTTCCCTCTCCCTTACTAAACCAGAATCTTCTCTTTCAACCCCCTGCCCCTCCAGTATAGATATAGAAGATCTCTTTGTATGGAGACAGATTGTTGGTCTAGCTGGCCCTACTTACCGTCAATGTTGGTAGCAACTCTCCAGAGTCTGGGGCGGAGATCATTCCCAGGTCTCCCTTGCCAGGGGTGGCTTAACTGGAGATGACAGAAATTGCACCTGGAAGCCAATGCATGCAGACCATGTGCTCTGTACCACTTCAAACCACTCAACCAGTTCTTCTTTCCCTCCATCTTCCCTTGTTTTTGGTGTACTCCCATCACTGATTATAGGGATGCACTCATGCAGTATTGCTGCCACAAGCATTATGGGCTAGCTGGCAGTGAAAAGTTGTTTTTCTTATGCGTTTTTAGCTTGCATTTTATGGTTGTCCCCCCCCCAATTATTTTTATTAGTTTCCCTATGTTTTTTTACAAATCAAACTGAATTACTTTAACTTAATACAATTTCTTTTTAAAAAAAAAATCAGGTTCTCCGCTTCTGCAAACATATGTCCATCTTTTCCTCCTGTAGCCACATCATCTCTTCATTAATATCTATTTCATCCTTCACTTGTTGTTGTCCATTCTTACAGCCGACCATCATTGCCTCCTTACCAACAGTGCCTCGGTTATTTCTTAAAAATTTAAAATCCATTTCACTTGTGTAGCCCTTCATAATCATTATTGTCTCGGACCTGGTGTGCTGGGAGAGTTAATTCTTATCTTCCTTTGTTCAGTCTTTGCAGTGTTTGGAAATGGCATGCATCAGCTCCCAAGGTTACATCAAGTTAGTTGAAAGTGGTGATGTTCCTCTTAAAAACAACAACAAAAACAACAACACACAACTGCTTTAAAAATTCTGCTTTAAAAACCTGCTTGCTACTTTGAAAACAATTTTATTTCCATAGGCTTATGCTTCCAACTGTTGCCAGAAAATGCTTAGATATGTTACATATTAAAGTGATGGGGCTTGTAATTGCTAGGTTGCTTCTATTGATGATAATGCTAGTGTTCCAGCCAGCCGGGATTTTGGTAGAACAATTAATAGCATTTAACTGTCTTGGGAACCCATTGTTTTGGAATAATTCAGTGGCCTCCGGAAAGCTGGGTTATCCCTATGTTTGGATACCTAAAGCTTAAGCAGGATTGAAGCTTCAGTTTAGGTAGAATAGTGGGCATCACCTTTGTTTCCTGTGCGAAAGGTCTGAAACTAGGCAGAAACCGCTTCTTTGCTGGAGGATCTATAACTCAGTGGTACTGAATCTGTTCTGAATCTGGCATTTCCAGTTACAAACCAGTAATGGGGAAAGCATTTTCCTGAGCTCCTAGAGAAGCACTGCCAGTAGGGAATAGTAGGATTTGGGTCAGGGTGGTCCAACACACGCCCCAAGCACTGCATGCAACCCTCAAGGCCTTCTTTTGCAGCCCTCGGCAACATTTGACGCCCTCCCAAACCCTTGCTCTGCCTTTCCAAAGCTGGGTAAGTGCGGTGCTGGGCTTTGTGAAATAGGTGTGAGGCTTTGACCAAGCCTAGTTAGTGGTTTCCCAGCTTTGGGAAAGTAGAGGCAAGGCTCCAGGAGCCGGCTAGAGCCTCTCACCTCCCTTTGCCAGCTTTGGGAAGGCAGCGCAAGGTCTGGACCAAATTTTGGCCTCACTCCGCCATGCGACAAGGCAGTATATGGCCCACAGATTCTGTGTCAAAGTTGCAGCCCACTTGGTATGAAAAGTTGGGCTGCCCTGATTTAGTTGGATATACAGGATGGAATTCAATGTCCCATGACTGTGACGGTTCCATCAGGGCAAACCTTTCTGCTTCCTAGATGGAACAATCTCCACTCTCCTCCCTCCAAGCACTGCTTTGGGGGTGCTTCTGACATACACCCCCCCAGACTGATTTGGGGAGGGGCTCAGGAGGAAGAAGGAGGGGAACCCTATTGCATTAATGGGTCTGATTGCGCTGGCTCCCACTAGTGCAGTGTTTTTCAACCTTTTTTGGGCAAAGGCACACTTGTTTCATGAAAAAAATCACGAGGCACACCACCATTAGAAAATGTTTAAAAATTTAACTCTGTGCGTATATTGACTATATATAAAGTAATTCTCTTGAATAGGAATCAAATAAACACAAAGAAAGTATTTTATAATTACTTTATTATGAAATAGTTAATAAATTTAACTCTGTGCCTATATTGACTATATATAAAGTAATTCTCTTGAATAGGAATCAAATAAACACAAAGAAAGTATTTTATAATTACTTTATTATGAAATAGTAAGTAAACAGAAATATGAAAAATTATAAAATACTTTATTTTTAAATCTTTCGAATTTTTCAATTTTTCCCACGGCACACCATTCAACACGGCACACCATTCCCCCAATGGAAGCCCCCAAAGCAGCACCTGAGTGCAACTGATAGGCTTGCCCTCCATGAATGTGTCTGTCAGATGGCTGTTGCGGTTGCTCGAGAGTAACCAGGCAGGACTCCGACCTGTCTTTTACAGGCTTTCTTTTGGTGCAAACTATTTACAGTGAAGAGCGTCATAAGTTCATATCTGGCTCAATCGCTAGCAGAATCCAGGAGTGGTCTGTTTTTGTACCTCCCCCAACATAAAAGTTTCGTCACCCCCAGCCTTTTACGCCCCTCCCTGCGCCTCAAACTACTGTGCATGATGGGCGCTGGCAGAGGTGTGCTTCCCTCCTCTCCAGCTTGCTCAGGCATGGTGTTAAGGCTCTCTCTAGCATCCTCTGGTCCTTGCACCTCTTCTCCACTGGAGGTGGGGCTTTCCTCCTCGCCAGAAGAGGAACTGCTTCGCAAGATTTTCGGAGGCTCCCTGTAACACAACTTCCCTCTACCTCTTACCTCTCAGCCGATGGCAGTTCCCTGACAGTGTCTAACCATCTTTGAAAGCCAACCATGTTGGTGGCCATCGCTACATCTTGTGGGAGAGAATTAAATCATTTAGCAATGCTCTGTGTAAAGGGGTACTCACTCCTGGTTGTCCTGAATCTTCCAATACCCAGCTCCATGAGACGCCCCCCTAGTTCTACTCTTAAGAGAAAGGGAGAAAGTCTTTTCTCTAGCCACCAGTCCTCCGTTGCAATTTTTGCAAGATCACGTTAAAAATGTGATGTGTACCGAGAATAGAGCATATCTTAATTGCGTTTCTCAGCGTTTCTGCATATATTATGCCTGCCCACATCCTGGGGAGCTGGGTTTAGCTATGCGTTCCCAGCATTGCTTGAAATACTGTCTGACGGACAGTAGAGCCAGACCACAGTCTGGTGATGTAGTCTCCCCTCCAGAGTAGGCTGGAGTCTCTCTCTGTTTGGCTACGGAGTCAGCTAGCCACAGAGTGGGGAGGAACAGCACTTTGGGGGGGGAATATAAAAGGAGCAGTTTCTGAGGGAGAGGGGTACACAAGGCTGGATTTAAGATGAGAGGCTGGGCTTGGTTTTGAGAAGGGGCAAAGGTTCAGGTTAAGAAATAAGGTTTGGTTGGAGTTGGGAGTTAGGGAGTGAGTTCAGGAGAACTGGTTCCGAGGGAAGTTAAGCATTCACACTGAGGAGGACTATCCATAGCAAGAGGATGGAGCCTTGCAGCTTGGATAGGGAGACTGGGTTGAGGGTTTGGGGAAGGTATATAGGCCGGAGTGTCCTGGGAGGGCTGAGCCTGAGCCGGGAGAGGTAGATCTTGTGGGAATACAGTGGTACCTCAGGTTAAGTACTTAATTCGTTCCGGAGGTCCGTACTTAACCTGAAACTGTTCTTAACCTGAAGCACCCCTTTAGCTAATGGGGCCTCCCGCTGCTGCCGTGCCGCCGGAGCACGATTTCTGTTCTCATCCTGAAGCAAAGTTCTTAACCCGAGGTACTATTTCTGGGTTAGCAGAGTCTGTAACCTGAAGCATATGTAACCCGAGGTACAGGCTACCTGGGTCTCAGTAGAGTCAGGAGGGGAGAGTTCTTCTAGGTACTGAAGACTCCCAAACCAGTAACAAGGGGTGAGGAGATCCCCTGGCTCTGTAATACCATTTAGAAGACCTCATGAACCAAAGGATTAAGCTGTGAAGGAATCTGTTTGGTGCTGAAAGTATTTAACTGTAATATCTAAGTGGGAGAAACTGAGTTGAGCATTTTACCCTCTATTCTAGAAACCTGAACATCTGAAGTGTAACAACTCATTTTTAGTAACTGAAGAAGAGTTGTGCCTATAGTATTAAGCCAGAGACAGAATTAAATAAAATAAGTTAACTTCAACCTGAAAGAACACATTTCCTGACCCGCTTTGTTCATAAACTTCTTTTTGTTTAATGAAACGTTTCTTGTTTGTTTGATCAGCTCCTGCCTGAGACTCTAAATCATTAAGTTTTCCCTCACACAAGTCCCCCGCCAGATAATCTGTGGTAAATGGTAGAAATTCATGTAACTGGTGTACTGTGAGGTGGGTGCACTATATTTAATTGAGGGCAGTTAGCGGGAGAGGATCCACCGCATTATTAATTGGTGGTATTAAGTGGTGGGTCTGCTACAGCAGACTTGCAATGATCGTAATTGTGTAGCATTACTGACTTGCGGAGAATAAAAGGATGCTTTGATGGGGTTGGTATTATTTGTGAAATTTGTCTCAGAGGGGGGCATAAAACATTTGAAAAGCCTTTTAAAAAAATTGATCATATAAAGGTCGCTTATTAACAGTGAGCCTGGTACACAACTGATCAAACTTACATTAATCCGTTTCCATGCTATGTCCTTGACTGCAGTGAGTCAGAAAGCTTATTCATTTCTGCTACTTGGTTGAGCTAGCCCAGTGAGGGGGGAAATGTCCATTTTCCTCATTGGAAAGCATTCTACCAGCATCTAACACCCCCCCCCCTTTTCTCCCACTTTTCAGGTGCCCTCGTGACAAATTTTTTGACTTCAGATCTGGACAGTTACTCTTACTTGAAGAAAGTGGCCTTAGAAGGACACCTTTACAATGGATTTAATTTAATAGCAGCAGACTTGAAGTAAGTATATAAAAACTTCACAGCTAAGGCAGCAAAGGGGGAGGAAAAAGCAAGGGCCAATGGGGTGCATATCATGGATAGCACTAAATGTTTGTTGCGTGGGTATACGTCAGAGCAAAGCCTATTCTGTCCCGTCCCCCCTTTTTAATGAAGAAATTGTGGTGTTCTTGTGGTTGTTTTTATTAAGGAACGAATTTAGGGTTGTAGACATGGCAGTCTTACTTTCAATGGGTTTACTCTGGGCAATGAATATACATTTTACCTTTATTCAGTAGGCTAGTTTCTACAGGCCCTCACAAACCACATTCTGACCTTCATCCAGGCAAGCCAGAGGCATTATCAGGACATAGTCCAGCCAGGCAAAAACCTTATGGGGTTAGAAACAGAGCCAGTGGGAGGTGTGGCCTGGGGAGAGATCTGAGGGCCAGGTAGGGAGGCCTGGAGGGCCACATTTGCCCTCTGAGCTTGAGGTTCCCTAGCCATGCTACAATGCGGTTGTGGAGAAGGGAGATGGGATTGCCAGGCAAGCTGCATAGATGACTAAAAGGAGTAGACATGGATAAGGAAGGAAGGAAGCGCGGTGCCATCTCACAGTTTTTACAAACTAATGGCTGCAATCTGCTCGCTTTGTTCACCTGGTCAGGCATCTAGGGAGAACTTGAATGAGAAAGGAGCGAGAGGCAGAAACAGATGTGGTGATAATGATGAAGTCAAGGATGTCGCTCCCTGGAAATGTAAAATGGCACATCCCAGGTGTCAAGTGGGACCCGCCAATAATCCGAGTGGATCTGAAGTCAAGCACACTTCAGGTGTCGTTTCATATGGTTCCGTAGATCTTCGCGGGGCTTTCTGAATTAGTCACTTAATGAATATAGAATGCGGTCCTGGGAGAAAGCAGAGGCAGAGTGCTAGTGAGCTCTGCAGTACCTGGCAGAGCTCTAATTAACCCAAGAGGGTGACCTCAACCTGGATTTGAAGTAGCCTTTCTAGAAGGAGGCATAAAGCGTCCCCGGCCCGTCCCCCCCGTCCCCGATCTGTGAAATCATAGCAATGAAGGAAATCGCCCATTGTTTGGATGTATATTACGAACAGTACAGCTGCTTAGCTTTTTGGATCCAGCAAACTAAGCACATGTTTAAACCTCTTATCAATATACCCTGTTTGTTCTGTACGCTTTTGTGGCACACTTAATCGTGCAGAGTTGTGGTGGGACTGTGATATCCACCAGGCGTTTGTGTAGTCCTGAAAGGGATGTAAGAATCCCTTGCTGGAGCGCAGAAATCTTGGGTCAACAGAGGCTGGATGACCATCTATCAGGGATGCTGTGGCGGCACCATGCACTGAGAAGAAGGTGGGGTTGCATTAGGTGGCCCCTAAGATTCATTCTAACTCTAAAATGGTATAATTAATGTCATTCCCCGCTCACTGGGTTAACCTGCCGCTGAACCAAATGGAGGGTGTTGCTAAGACTTCGCTGCCGCAAGCTTCAAATTTATGTGAATTTTGTTTTCATTTTGCTTGCCAACCCTGCCCCACAGTGCAGGCCAACATAAATCATATCATTTTGTTTTCCTGTGGTGGAATACAGAAACGGGAGTGGATGCTGAAGTGTGTGCCGCTTGACGATCCTTTTGGCCCTTTGCCGATCTGTAAATCAATTATTTCTGGGGCTCGGCCACCCTTAGTTCAGCTCTGCTTACAGCATTCCTGTTGCCTACTGGGGCTGCCTCAGCCCAGCCGAGCTGCCTTCTGATTAGCTTTCAAATGCAGTAACTGGCTTTATTAAATTTATTATTATTATTTATTCATTTATGCCAGTTGCATTGAAGGATAGGTAGGCCTCTGCGGTATTTTGTAATGCTTCTTGAACAAGATGCCAAAGATGTTGATCTCCTCAGGAACCAAAGCATTGTCTGTTAACGGTATAGTTAGGAGTCTGTGGTGTATACAGTGGTACCTCGGGTTAAGTACTTAATCCGTTCTGGAGGTCCGTTCTTAACCTGAAGCGCCACTTTAGCTAATGGGGCCTCCTGCTGCCGCTGTGCCGCCGGAGCATGATTTCTGTTCTCATCCTGAAGCAAAGTTCTTAACCCGAAGCACTATTTCTGGGTTAGCAGAGTCTGTAACCTGAAGCGTATATAAGCTGAAGCGTATGTAACCCAAGGTACCACTATAGTTAGGATTCTGTGGTGTATATCTGGGATGAGGAACTTCAAGTCCAAGGCCCAAATGCAGCCCTCCAGGCCTTTCTGTCTGGCCTTCAAGACATTTCCCAGGCCACACCCTGTCCCTGCTTTTCACCTTCCTTGAGTGCTTTTGCATTCGAGGAATGCATTCTTGAACTGTGATAATGCCTCTTGCTTGCATGGATGGCTGATTGAGTGAGTGATGGGTGTATAACTTTCGCTGTATAAAGTTAAAGGTCCCGCTTGTTGCTCTGCTTGCTTTTGACTCTGGCCCTGCCCACCGCTGGCATGCGCCCCCTCTCCCCCAAAGTTGCTCCCCTGTTGTGCATTTGCCAGTTCGTTCTTATGTGTGTACAGTGCATAGCCGACTACTTCAAATACGCTATATGTTTGACAAGAAGAGGAAGCTTCCCCTGGGCAGTAATTACTTTCTATATCCATTTCTTGACAGCTCAATAGAGTGTATCAAAGATGGATGGCTGCTAGCCAAAGAGGGGGGTATTCAGAATATGCCAAACAAACCATGTCCTCCTCCTGCTCTCCCTCCCCAAAATAGCACTCTGGTTTCTCAGAAGTAGTTATAAGAGTGCTTCCCCTCAAATAGGTAGCCTTTGGACTCTCAGTGTTTTGCAGTAGGATTTCAGGTGTACAGTGGTGCCCCGCAAGACGAATGCCTCGCAAGACGAAAAACTCGCTAGACGAAAGGGTTTTCCGTTTTTTGAGTCGTTCCGCAAGACGAATTTCCCTATGGGCTTGCTTCGCAAGATGAAACGTCTTGCGAGTTCTTGCGAGTTTGTTTCCTTTTTCTTAAAGCCGCTAAGCCGCTAAACCGTTAATAGCCGCTAAGCCGCTAATAGCCGTGCTTCGCAAGACGAAAAAACCGCAAGACGAAGAGACTCGCGGAACGGATTAATTTTGTCTTGCGAGGCACCACTGTATACCAGAATTTCAGGCTTGTGCAATTTCAGTGGATTCAAAGGCTCTGTTGCCCAGGTGTGGCAAACCCACTTTTTTGTGTTTTGTAATGGATGTTTTGCGGTTAGGAAAATCCTCTGAAAAGTGTTGGATGAATGAACGATGAACAGTACAAACAAATCAGGATGAAATCAAGATCTGAGCTCATGACCGTATAACACACACACACACACACACACACACACCCCTGCCCCGCAACCAAATTGGAACAGATAGTAAAGACCAGGCATAGTCTAACCTCTGTGTACGTTTTGTGCAAGCAAGTCAATGCACAAGTCAAGGGTGAGCCTATGTTTGAATAAAACATGATTTCATGTTCCAGTGTGTTGTAAATGCATACTGCAGCTGTTAGTAATCAATAGGTTGGTATTTGAGCATCACCTGTGTGTAGTGGAGCTTTGACTATACAGAGATTACTAGTGAAACTGAGTTGGTGGGCATGTGTTGTGACCTGCCATGGGATAGCTGACCGGTGAATCCCAGGCTTATAAATGGAAGGAGAATAATTTGTTTTCTCCGGACAACTTAAAAAATGCTGGGGGTCTTTGGCAGACCATTTTTCTTTGTTTATTCTACACATCAAAATACATACGTAACTCATATTTGAATAACAGTCAAGGTGCCTTATAATGCAATGGAAGAAGGCAAAAAACCCACAATCTTATTCTTTCTTTAACATCAACATCAATATCATCACTGTATTATGAAAATCATGGGCCTTGGGCCAGGCTGCTGAGAAGGGCTCCTTTTTAAACATTTAAGGGAAAATTAGTAGACTGCACCAGTGCGTGAAAATCACAGGCCCTTGTTCAAAATGGTTTTGATTTCTGTCATCAGAAAAAATAAATTGAGTGCAAGACCAAGTGCAGATATTTCTGACTGTTCCACAACCTTACTGTATATAATGGAGCTTTTGCACCATCGCAGCTTGAGAACCTTTGGCTTAGACAACGTGGCACCAGACATTCTTGGACTGCAACTCCCATCATCCTTGATTGTTAGCCATGATGGCTGGAGTTGGTGGCAGCTGTAGTTCTTTTTATATATATATTTAATTTTTATTTGTTTTAAACACATTTATATTATCATACATTTTACAAATTTCCAGCTCTTATACAATCTTCTGGACTTCCGTCAGCTCCTCTGATGATCTCCCATCTTTAAGATTTCTCCTGCATTTCTTAAATTTATATTACCTTTAACCTCATAACCGATATCATCCCTTTCATTCAATAAGGCAATAATTCGAATTATTCCCCTTACAAAACTTTCTGCAAACCTACAAATGTAATCGAATCATCACAATTACTTTTCATGTAGTCCGTAAATTTACGCCAATCTTCTGTGAATCTCTGGTCCCTCCAGTTTCAGATTCTTGCCGTTAATTTGTTCAGTTCTGCATAGTCCATCAATTTCATCCTCCACTCTTCTTTCGTCAGTAATTCTTCTTGCTTCCATTTTTGTGCCAATAAAGTTCGTGCTGCCGTCATTGCATACAAAAACAACTTACAATCACTTCTATTTATATCAGTTCCTACAATGCCTAATAAAAATGCTTCTGGTTTTTTTAATAAATGTATATTTCAACATTTTCCTCATTTCATTATATATCATTTCCCAGAAGTTTTTAACCTTTTTGCATTCCCACCACATATGGTAAAATGTTCCTTCTTTTTCTTTACATTTCCAACATTTACTGCTTACCTTATACATTTCTGCAAGTTTAACGGGTGTAATATACCACCTATAAAACATTTTCATCACAGGTGGCAGCTGTAGTTCAACAGCATTCAGATGGCAACACATTGGCCAACCCTGGCTTGAAGTGTAGCTTAGTTC